TTTATTTTTCGGTTTGGGTCGATTCAATTCATTTGGAAAAACTAGTGATGGAAATGACAGTTTGAAAAATCTGGAGTGATGTTAAAGCTCCATCATGTGTTCGATTCACTCTCTCGGAAAATGAATTAGCCACATCAAATGTTTGCTAGCTTTTTCAAATACGATTCAAACGAAAAAATGGAAAGTGAATCAAAATTTTTTTATACTCCATTTAGGTGTGTTACTAAATAATTTATCGAATGTTGCGTAATCTGCCGACAGAATCGGCTTTCTACAACAATTTTGTCGGCTTTCGGTGCGTAAACATTTTAAAGAATTCTTGTCGAACGCAACTCGCCGATCGTTAATTATCTACTTTGCAATTCGGCTGTCAGAATCAGAAATCCCTTTCGCCTCTCCCATTGGATAGCCTCGGGAATTCTAACTTTCTAACATTTTCGATTTATTTTATCAATAGGTTGATATAATAAAACGTGTTTTTAAACTTTTATGTGTATAAATGTTTTAATATGAATGAAATCCGTTGCCTTTTGAAAATGATACGGAAATGTATGGAATATGCAGATTGTAAAATCATTTCGCGGTTCAAAATAACGCATAGAATTTCAACGTTATTTTTGTTTATTTTTTCTTTTTTTCAGTTTCTGCTTTTCGATTTGTTTCGTATATTTTGTTCTACAATAATTAAAATGTTGGAACAAAATTTAAATTTCCAATAAAATATCTTCGCGATTTAACAAGCAAAAACTTCAATTACTCACCCAACCCCCATCATTCTTAATCAAACAATTTTAAGCGACCCACTCTGATTTATTACGCTGTGGGGTGCCATATAAACGAGTCATTTTTCAAAAATTCTTTCTACGCTTACAAATAATATTTATTCTTTCCTATTGAAGTAATGCGAAGATAAATTTCAACTTTGTATACACATAAATTACAGGTATTTAGGCTAATAAAAAAAATAAAAATGCTTTTTAACCCAACGCACAAAGATAATCCCTTGGGAAGGACATAAATGGCCTAGAGCAATGCAACAACATTCCTAAACTACACGGTGGTTACAAGTAACTCCAAAAGGATTTTATAAAAACAACTTGAATTACTCTTATTTTAATACAACATCCCAGAAACGACGACGAATGTAGGAAAGAATCCTATCGTATTCCAAACATTGTTTCCTCAACTCTCTCTCATCTTTTCTGCATGCATAAATACAAGGCGATCTCTCGTGCTATATATACACGGTTTTCGAACCACTCCTCTTCAGATCGGTGTGTAAACAGATCGTATCTCTGTTGGAACGGATGCGATGGAGCTATAACGCATAAAACTCGGCCACATCGGATACGCCTTCCCTTTGCTCCTGTCAACATTCGAATTTATTTGGCAGCATGCAGATGGGCACTCGGCCTCGCACGTTGATTAATGTTTCTATTATGCAGCGATTCGCTTACCAACGTAATGTACGCATGCTCACTCGACTTTAAACTCCATTGATAATGATGTGTCAATAAATTTATAATGTATACAAACTTTAACGTTAAAAGGATTTAAATTCGATTTTAAAATATCAAACATCGAAATATCTTAATCTCTCCACATAGTATAGAAAAAAAAGGTTTTGACATTAAATTTCATATCATATCAAAATTATTTAAGTTATTATTTAAGCATTCTTTTAAGATATCATACTTGAAAATATCTCAATTTATCTAAAAGATAGAAACGGTACAGTTTAACCCTGATTTTAAGGCTCGTTACTACCATCTTCTGGTTAAGCTATCTAAGGGATTAGATAGTAGATGAGTTTATCTATAAGATAAATTTAACTAAAAGATGGTAGTAATGGACCTAAGTGATTTAATGTTTTCTTAGCCACTTAACCTTATCAATATTAACTCATTTAAATGTAATGAGTCATATTGCGTTGAGTTCCTTATTAATTAAGCATTCTTTTAAGATATCATACGTGGAAATATCTCAATTTATCTATAAGATAGAAACGATAGAGTTTAACCTTGGTTTTAACCGATTTTATTTCTTCTTAGCCACTTGACTTTATCAATAACGAGTCATTTCAATGCAATGAGTCATATTATTTTGAATTCCTTATTAATTAAGCTATCTTTTAAGATATCAGGCTTGGACATATCTCAATTTATCTATAAGATAGAAACGGTATAGTTTAACTCTGGTTTTAACCGATTTAATTTCTTCTTAGCCACTTGACTTTATCCATATCGAGTCATTTCAACACAATGAGTCATATTGCGTTGAGTTAATTATTAAGTAAGCTTTGTTTTAAGATATTATACTTGGAAATATCTCAATTTATCTATAAGATAGAAACGGTACAGTTTAACCCTGATTTTAAGGCTCGTTACTACCATCTTCTGGTTAAGCTATCTAAGGGATTAGATAGTAGATGAGTTTATCTATAAGATAAATTTAACTAAAGGATGGTAGTAATGGATCTAAGTGATTTAATGTTTTCTTAGCCACTTAACCTTATCAATATTAACTCATTTAAAATGTAATGAGTCATATTGCGTTGAGTTCCTTATTAATTAAGCATTCTTTTAAGATATCATACGTGGAAATATCTCAATTTATCTATAAGATAGAAACGATAGAGTTTAACCTTGGTTTTAACCGATTTAATTTCTTCTTAGCCACTTGACTTTATCCATATCGAGTCATTTCAACACAATGAGTCATATTGCGTTGAGTTCATTATTAAGTAAGCTTTGTTTTAAGATATTATACTTGGAAATATCTCAATTTATCTATAAGATAGAAACGGTACAGTTTAACCTTGGTATTAACCGATTTCATTTCTTCTTAACCACTTGACTTTATCAATATCGAGTCATTTCAATGTAATGAGTCATATTGCTTTGAGTTCCTTATTAAGTAAGCTTTCTTTTAAGATATCATACTTGGAAATATCTCAATTTATCTATAAGATACCACGGTATAGTTTAACTCTGGGTTTAACCGATTTTATTTCTTCTTAGCCGCTTGCCTTTATCAATATAAAGTTATTTAAATATAATGAGTCATATTGCGTTGAATTCCTTATTAATTAAGCTATCTTTTAAGATATCATTCTTAGAAATATCTCAATTTATCTATAAAATAAAAACGGTGCAGTTTAACCTTGGTTTTAACCGATTTTATTTCTTCTTAGCCACTTGACTTTATCAATATCGAGTCATTTCAATGTAATGAGTCATATTGCTTTGAGTTCCTTATTAATTAAGCTTTCTTTTAAGATATCATACATGACAATATCTCAACTTATCTATAAGATAGAAACAATAGAGTTTAACCATGATTTTAACCGATTTCATTTCTTCTTAGTCACTTGACTTTATCAATATCGAGTCATTTCAACGCAATGAGTCATATTGCGTTGAGTTCCTTATTAAGTAAGCTTTCTTTTAAGATATCATACTTGGAAATATCTCAATTTATCTATAAGATACCACGGTATAGTTTAACTCTGGGTTTAACCGATTTTATTTCTTCTTAGCCGCTTACCTTTATCAATATAAAGTTATTTAAATATAATGAGTCATATTGCGTTGAATTCCTTATTAATTAAGCTATCTTTTAAGATATCATTCTTAGAAATATCTCAATTTATCTATAAAATAAAAACGGTACAGTTTAACCTTGGTTTTAACCGATTTAATTTCTTCTTAGCTACTTGACTTTATCAATATCGAGTCATTTCAACGTAATGAGTTATATTGCTTTGAGTTTTTTTATTAAGTAAGCTTTCTTTTAAGATATCATACATGACAATATCTCAACTTATCTATAAGATAGAAACGATACAGTTTAACCCTGGTTTTAACCGATTTCATGTCTTTTTAGCCTCTTGACTTTATTAATATTATGTTTTCTTAAGATATTATACTTAAAAATATCTCAATTTATCAATAAAATAGAAACGTATTTAATTTCTTCAAACAGTTTTAGATCGAGATACTCAAAGAGATTAATGTTGTTTTTCCTGAATTAGTTAATATTTATTATAGGTATTTATTAAAATAAAATGCAAATTGCTATTGAAGGAATACAAAGATTTATTATAAACATAGAAAATATTTGCAGTTTTAATGGAGTACATAATTATGTTTTAACATTCTAATTCATTCCATTTCCTTTCACGATTACATGAAAGAACTTAATTAGGTTCGTTTAATGAATATTTATACACCAGATTCCATATCCTACTCTTCTACTATATAATTCGATGTTTACATCCTCCCAGAAAGTGAAATATACAACAAAGTTTTTCACGTCCGTTGGAGTTAATAGTTTCCTGGTTTTAATATAAATTTCAAGATAAATTTAAGATAAAAATCTTGTTATTTGTTGATTATAAATTTAAGTTGAAGAATCAATTGTGGGTCTACGTCGTGTTCTTAGTTAATGAACCGTTCAAAGTTAGTAATGCAAACTGCCGGTATCAGGATACGAGCGCAATATCCGATTGGAGACCGATGGGTGGGTCAGGGGCAACCTCCGCCCCGAATTACGTCCGTTTGGGTAATTAAAGCGACCGTGGGTAGATTGCTCACTAACCGGCGATTGCAAAGCTGCTTTTGATTGATTTTCAAACGGCGACAACATACATCAACTTTCCCACGGTGTTAACTCCGAAAATTCAATATAACTTTAATCTTTCATCGATACAACTAATTTTTCATATCATCACAAACAGAAAGTTTATTCAAATTTAACATAAATCAGTTCCAGTTCGTCTGGAGTTAACGAAATAATTACAGAGTCTGTGACCGTCCCTGAAAGAGACAGAAAAGCTGTAAGAGCTGGGGATCACGTGATCGTCTGAAACGGCTCTAAATATACACGGAATCTTAATCGGCACAACGCTTCCTTCTCATAGTGACTGCTCGACTCGGCGAGAGTCACGAGAAATCGGGAAACTTAGAAGTTTAAAGTTTTTCTTCGTATATTGATCCACGATGGAACTTGACATGTCTTGTTATCCACCAGGGGCCATAGGAAACAGTGTCAGTGAAAGCGTGTTGGGGTCCGACGGTGTAGAAGTCGAGGACCGTCTGGTTGCTTTACGTTGGGTTAACCATGAAAAAAGGCATAGCACTCCGGAATGCGTGACAAGGGATACAAGGGATTTTGTTGTATCCCTTGCCACGGATAGATTATCAACGTTGCAAAGATCTTTAAAATGGGCAGGATTAAAATTAGTAAGTATTTTTTAATTTACAAATTTACATAAAGTTTTACGTTCTTTTCTGGCACTAAAAACGAAAAGGTTTTACCGCCTACGTTTCCTCCGTAACATTAACATATCTGATGGTTAAGGAATTCAAGTGATGTAACAGTATCAAAAAAAAAAAACAATTCAATAAAAAACATATAAAATACGGTTTTATTCCGTGTTTAATAAACGTATCGCTTTTGATTAAAAAATACGTTCAATAACCTATGTTTTTTCATTGGGTTTTATGGAAAAACTATTTTATATGTATAAAACCCATTTATGTCTGTAACAACTATAAATTTTTATATAAAAACTTTGATAATCCCTTTATAAATAAATCCTCGGGGATTACTCTGGTATTTTTAAATTGGGTCGAAAGGTGAGCGAATTATATCGAATAAAATTGGGTTGATTATTTGATTGCAAACGTTCTAAATACTGTAATAAAACAAGATATATGAGATTGAAATCCTTAATAATTAGGCTTTTATTTGAGATATCAGTCATCAAAATATCTCAATCTGTCCAAATGATATAAAGTAAAAAGTTTTGGTTTAATACTAAATGTTTAAACTTTGCAAATACCTCTATGATAATCGATACATACATTGGATTAAAATAAATTATATCATATATCGTACATAAAAATATCTCAATTTATCCCAAAGATATAGTATAGGCCTAGTTTTAACAGATTTAATCTTTTCTAGAGAACCTGACTTTATTGATTTCGAGGCATTCAAATATAAGGTGCCACATTACATTGAATTCCTTATTAATTAAGATATCTTTTAAGATATTACTCGGTGCAATATCTTGATTTTCCCAATAATTATTAAAAGAAGTGATATTCATTGCAATTTCCTTCTTTTTAATCCATATCGAGTAACTTGATTATAAACGTTCTAAATACTAAAATGAAACAAGATATATCACATTGAAATTTTTAAGAATTAGGCTTTTATTTGAGATATCATTCATCAAAATATCTCAATATATCCAAATGATATAAAGAAAAAGTCTTGGTTTAGTACTAAATCTTTAATCTTCGCAAAAACCTTGATGATAGACGTTTTGTGCATTGGATTAAGATAAATTATATCACATTAAAATCGTTGTTATTTACGCTTTCTTTTAAGATATCGTACATGGAAATATCTCAATTTATCCCAAAGATATAAACGGTATAGTATAAGCCTAGTTTTAACAGATTTAATCCCTTCTGACGAACCTGACCTTATTGATTTCGTGTCATTCAAATATAAGGTGCCACATTACATTGAATTCCTTATTAATTAAGATATCTTTTAAGATATTACTCGGTGCAATATCTTGATTTTCCCAATAATTATTAAAAGGAGTGATATTCATTGCTATTTCCTCCTTTTTAATCCATATCGAGTAACTTGATTATAAACGTTCTAAATACTATAATGAAACCAGACATATCACATTGAAATTCTTAAGAATTAGGCTTTTATTTGAGATATCATTCATCAAAATATCTCAATATATCCAAATGATATAAAGTAAAAAGTCTTGGTTTAGTACTAAATGTTTAAACTTTACAAAAACCTTGATGATAGATGTTTCGTACATTCGATTAAAATAAATCATATCACATTAAAATCGTTGTTATTTACGCTTTCTTTTAAGATATCGTCCATGAAAATATCTCAATTTATCCCAAAGATATAAACGGTATAGTATAAGCCTGGTTTTAACAGATTTAGTCCCGTATAGAGAACCTGACCTTATTGATTTCGAGGCATTCAAATATAAGGTGCCACATTACATTGAATTCCTCATTAATTAAGATATCTTTTAAGATATTCCTTATTGAAATATCTTAATTGTCCCAATAATTATTAAAAGAAGTGATATTCATTGCAATTTCCTTCTTTTTAATCCATATCGAGTAACTGGATAACAAACGTTTTAAATACTATAATGAAACAAGATATATCATATTGAAATTTTTAAGAATTAGGCTTTTATTTGAGATATCATTCATCAAAATATCTCAATATATCCAAATGATATAAAGAAAAAGTCTTGGTTTGGTACTAAATGTTTAAACTTTACAAAAACCTTGATGATAGATGTTTCGTGCATTGGATTAAAATAAATCATATCACATTAAAATCCTTGTTATTTACGCTTTCTTTTAAGATATCGTACATGGAAATATCTCAATTTATTTCAAAGATATAAACGGTATAGTATAAGCCTGGTTTTAACAGATTTAAGTTACAGTTTTATTGCAAATAGGTATAGGACACGCTTTATTAAAAAAAAATCTTATTATTTGGCGAATAATTTAAGATAAAAAATATGGGGTATTCCAATGAAAAAAAATGAGATATGGCTATTTCAAGTTTCTGGTATTGAGTACAATATTACGAACACCCTGTAGAAGGTTACCAGATTTTTATAGGGGCATGAAGTTACTGTAACTATGCATTAATAATCTACAAAAGATTTTAATAAAATTTTAAGGGTAATTCAAAAATGTAATAAAATATGGGGTGTTCCATTTAAATTTACGAAGTTGTACCTTGTACTTTGTTTTTGTAACAGCCTGTATAAGCAAAAATATACACCAAACAACTTTATATATAAACATTTTCTTCTAGCGACACCCTGTAAGGAGATATCGTTCGATATCGCACTAATTGGACACCTGTATATTGAATTAAAATAAATTAGATCACAATAAAATCCTTATTATTTAAGCTTTCTTTTAAGATATCATACATAAAAATATCTCAATTTATCCAAAAGATAAAAAGGTAGAACTTGTTTTGCAACAACTGTAAATTTATATATAAAAACTTTGATAATCCCCTTATAAATTAATCCTCTGGGATTAGTCTGGTATTTTTAAATTGGGTCGAAAGGTGACCGAATTACATCGAGTAAAACTGGACTTGTTTAAATTTTTAATCGCTTTAAGAGATGATTGTTTACTAGTTAACCTTGTTAGCTTCGAGGGTATATGTATAAAGTTATTTATTTGGTACAAACTTTGAAACCCCTCAAAGTCTTTAAACTGGCCTAAACGAAACGAGCAATTTATAAACTAAACATCGACTGTTTACATTCCATTATGGCTCGCTATGACTAGCACCGACGTTATTTACACCTGCCGCGTGCACCTGCAACCGTATCTAAATAACCCGCGTTAATTAGAAGTGAACAGCCTGGAGGTTTTTTCTGTCTTTTTCTTAAGACACGCTAATATTGCGTATAATTATCACAAGCTCGATATTTATTGAACCACCGCTGTTTTAATAAATAATACAAAAGTTAAATTGAAATCATAATTCAAACGACATATTTCAGTTCCACATAATCGAAAATTCAGTTATGAAACAAAAAATAAAAAAAACCTGTCCATATGTTTTATTTCGCTGTAGTAAATGTATGTGGCACGTGAAATAAAACGTGTCCGAATTTTCCAGGTACTACCGTGTCAGCTAACGTAATTATTTATCAATACCATGTGCGGAACGAACAAATTTTCCAACGCTCACTGAAACATCGGAAATATTTTTCTCCCTCAATTTCAAACGAACTGATTACGAGATTTTCAGCAAAATGAATCCGCATCCGCATTAATTCAATATCGATCAGAAACTTGGAAAATACATCATGTGTATAGCGAAACGTAAGTTTTATAAAATGTAGTTAAGCAAATCCTTGTTATGTTTTCGCGAAGACTGCACACGTTCCGCGGAAAGCATTTCGCCCACCAACCACGCAATTTCCTTTCGTAAAATGAAATTTCGCTCTCCATTCCAACCTCTTATTTTCCAATTTGCTCCCAAGTGTTGCTCCGAAACGAAGAAATATTGCTAAAACGAATAACAAACAAATTTAAACCGCAAAACTTTTGTATATTACAAATGATACACCAGTAGTAGTTGGGTTATTTGCCGTTATTATATTGTGTGTATCCTTAAAAGCGAAGAATATTCTTGAGCAGGAAATAGTAAATGGTTTTATAAATATGTATGAAGTCGCGGAGTATGTTTAGAATATCGACGGCATTTACGTTCTTACCTTTTACGAGTGCTTCTACTACACGCATACGGGCATTAAATTGCTGCATTAATATCGATTAAATTACCAATAGATAGCTTACTATCGCTGTCATTATACCATTCGGTTAGTATCAATACATTAGTTTAGGTTATGTGGAATTAATTCATACACACAAACTACTTTATTTAGATTTTAAAACTCTATACATATAAAAATAATCGATAGGTTAGTTGTCGTCCACGTGCCTATAAACCGGAGGCCATTTGGGCATTCCATTTTGTGCCTTTCACGAGGTCGATGGGCTTATAGCCAGTCTATTAGGTAATTATTTAACGCCGTTGCGAAAGACATACGTCCATTAATAATCTGCAGAGTCAGTTGACGTACTCTCACACGCCCTCCCTACGGCGATGACTTCGTTCAAGCATTACTCCACGCGCTTCGAGTTGACCATCAAAGCCTCAAATCGTTACTAAACTTTACTAACCGAAACAATGTCACTAACTGATTCTAATGGTACATGTTACTAAAACCAATCGAAACATTTTATTAACATTGTTACGAAATCGGTGGGGTAATTGAACTACTTTAATCGAATTACACCAAAGTCAAGTGGTATTAAACGGATCCCCATCAAATCCTACGTAGTTAAACTTTGTAGGATTTCGAAGTATTTATTTATACCTTACAATTAAATTCTAAGGTCAAGATTTCGTTTAAAGTTTAATTTTGGTATATACAGAAGTTGTGATACAAAATTTATATTAATAGTATCATCTAATCTTCCGTTAGCAATATTTAGCCTTCTGAAAGTAGTAATTAGTCTTTGCTAAGCAATATCTCATCTATACTAAGCAGAATTTAACGTTCTCCAAACAATATTTAGTTTTCTATTAACTATATAGCTCTTTCTCGATAGTGCCCCCAGTCTTCTGC